TCCTGTTATCTGCGTGTTACCTTTTTAGATTTAAGCAATAAGCCCTGTGAAGAATAAAACTGTTACTCCATAAAAATATAAATTTTAATATTTATTTTATTCATGAAATAAACAATAAAAAATATAACGTTATTAATAACACATGTATTCATTTATTCGTTACCTATTTAGATTTAAGCAATAAGCCCCGCTAAGAATAAAACTGTTACTCTTACTCCATAAAAATATTAATTTTAATATTAATTTTATTCATAAAATAAACAACAAAAAAATACAACGTTTTCTGATTATTGATTCCCCATCATATATTTATACAGATTGAGTCTGGTGAGTTTGTGTCATTCGCCCCCATGATCTCATCAATGCTGGACCCTCGTCACAAACACCTGGGCTTTCTTACACCAACACAGAGACTGGCTGCTAATGTGAAACTGGTTGAACTGGGAGAGGCGGTGGGGACCGATAGGGCGGCTATCCAACAGGCTGGGGGAGTCGAGGCTGCGTTGTCTGACATGGACGAGGGGAGCGCAAACACTGAAGTCGCGACCTCCCAGTCATCTGCTATGGCACAACTCCTTGGGGATCACTATACCACTCAATGCGAGGCTGGCATCGAAGCAGAACTTCAGAATTTTCTGAGGGAGACTCCCCCACCCCTGAATTGCACACCTACAGACTGGAGGAAAGTGAATGGAATAAGGTTCCCCGGGCTAGCGCGGAGGTACCTGTGCATCCCGGCAACGTCAGTCCCCTCAGAGCGGGTGTTTTCGGCCGCTGGACTGACGTCACCAGGTTGCGGTCAGATCATGTCAACATGCTTATATTTCTCAACAAAAATCAGTAGACTGGTGCAGAAGTTGTATGCGAGTTACTAAAGTTAGTTATTTTTCATGAGGCTTTAAGTAGCCTAATTTAAGTTAGCCTAATTGTTAGGAAGGCTAATATCTGGCCCTTTCTTCTGGCTTGGATAGTTTTGAGTTACATTTTGACAAAACCTGTCAGATCTAAGTATTATTATGTTTTTTGTTTAAGTTATTGTTTAA